TGCACTTTCGTCGGAAGATCTTGCTGCGCGTTACCCGAACGACCATCCGCGTCGCCAGCAGCTGCAGGTCGTCTCTGTATGCCGCCGGGATCAGGCCTTGGCTTCGGTGGCTCAGCTTCTTCGCCACATGAGGCAGGAAGGCTCTTCCTCCAATCAGGCCCAGTGCGCACTGGCCGCCACGCTCATCCTCTATAACGTCGAACTCATCGGCGCTGCATCGGCTAAGTGGCGGATGCACTTGGAGGCTGCACGTGTGATCCGCCGATGGAAAGAACAAACACTGATAGACGCCGGAGGCACGGACGAGATCGATGCTTTTTTAGTCTACGAGCAGTACTACGCAAGTGTTTTTGCTAGCCTCACCACTTTCGATGCCCTTGGGGAGTACGAGGCTATTCCGCTGACTGATTCGAATGCTATCTTTAGCGACTTTGTCGACATAATCAGTCGAGCGACACATGTGGAGCGCTTGCAATCTAGTGATGACTATGGGATGGATTTTTCATTGCTTGACACGATGATAGGAGATTTGGAAGCCGCCAAGACGCGCATGCTTGAGCTCAGCCTTATACTTTGCTGGCAAACCGACCAGGCCTGTCTCAGTTTCCAGCACCTGGTGTGGATCTTTTACTACGCCGGCCTAATTTATGTCCACCACGTCCTCGCCAGGAATGGTTCTCTAGATATGATATGCCAGCCTTGGAGAGATTCCATCTTTTTCCATCTCGCCCTTCTCGTTGACAAGCACTCATTCGCTCATGACCTTGTGTGGCCGCTATTCATTGCAGGCACCGAGTGCCGTGGGTGCCCGCAGAAACAGGAAGTGGTCGCACACGAGATTGAACTGGTTATGGAGGTTAGCGGCACATTGGACCGACGCAATGTCTTGTCCTTCTTGAAGCGGTTCTGGGCCTTGCCAGAAAGTGACCTCACGTGGATCCAGTTCATGAGGCTGGCACCGGAGCGACGTATGCTTATTCTTTAGGGTCGCCTACTACGCCGGGCCAGACATTCGGAGAACGTCCTCCACATTTCTTCCCGAAAGCCTGGCGTCCTTTCGGGCCTCACGGAACCGAATGCGCCAAATGATGTGGCTGAGGTAAATTCCCAGCTCGAGTACCACACTGGTCACGGGTCAGATACTCTGAGCATATACCGCGAGGCAAGCAACGAACTCACACGACGATATACATAACCCCGCCAAGGATATCGAATGACCCTTGTGCCACTGTTGGACTCTGTTAGCATGTCGCATAATGTAAGGTATAGCAGCCATACCAAGGGCGAAAATTGAAAACAGCCCTCCCAGCGTGTCGATGCATAAGAAGACCCAATCTATGTCGATGAGAATTCGCGCCATCCGCCCCGGGGAACATGAGTATCACGTACTTATCCCGATCACCCGTCCTTGCCTTTTCCCCAATTCAAAGTATATTGGTAGCATGCCGCCAGCGAGAAGTACCGTGGCTATCGCCCCCACCAGGATATCCGGCCAGGTGATACCCTTATTGTATGGGATCTGCGACCACGATCGAATTAGTTATGCAATGTTGCCATGAGTAGGTAGACCAGCCATCATGCCCTTAATGTCAAAATGAGTAGGGCTTCGAGCCCACCCATGATTGCTAGGAGGCCAACACACGCCAATGTGGCCTTCCGGGTGGTGTATCTGCTGCTCTTCATGTGAGTATACAGACGTATGTGCCGGTTGAGCTTAGACACTTTGACTCTTTGTGTCAAAGCATAATTAAATCTCACTGGTCATAATGTAGAATCTGAGCCCAGATGATGGCTGAAAAAGTCCCGAAAATCTGAGGCTGGATTTGCATCGGGAGATTGACTTCCTGGATCCAGGTCATGATTGTGAGCACCTTGACTCAAGCCATTGCCTGATCCTCAAAGGGAAATTGAGCGATAGTATTTACCTGTAGGATCAGATACACGCCCATGGGCACAGCACCTGATAGAAATCGAGTCAGCCATGACCAACCGTGGCACTTTGGTCTTGTACGGTAATAATGGCGGAATTACTAGTCCACTGATACATGAATAACAAGCACGGGGGATGGGGGTGGTTCGCCCGTACAAACAGCCCACAAGAATCCCATTGCGGGAGGCAGCCCTTCTGTTTTCTTCCGTCGCCAGTTATACCAGATCTGGGGGACAAGCTGGATACACCAGAAAACGGTGCCGATGGTGCCAAGAACATTGGATGCCGGAGTGGCGTCGGTTGATGCGGACATGAGCGGAGTGATGGGTGACCAACTTGGTGATAGAGGGCAGGCGACCTTGGGATGGCTGAACGGTCATTCGAAAGGCGGCATAAGTAGGCCTGGAATCAGTGTTGACCACCCTTTTCTACCCATCGCAGGCAGAAACTCCATGTCCCTGAGGTAGATATCTAGTTTGTGTCTCCAAACTCTGGAGATCCGAAAGAGTGGGGCACGGTAACCAAAATAGGCAAGTCGGGTGAGAAGAAGTTCTAGAACCATATAACATATCAGAGACTGAGAGATAGCCCATAAGCCTTCTAGGAAACAGGAGAAGTGAACTGTAACATGAGATGACCCGCACCTGATTACACCAACCTCTATACACGTACGCATTCTTTTGCAATCTGCATTATCCGGGCATTGCAGATCCTGTGCTGTCATTGATGGTGCGTGGGTCTGCGTCCCTGAACGATCCACGTGACACGCCAAGTCCCTAGAAATAGGCCATTTACCAGCTGTACCGGGTTAAGCATCTTAAATGTTAATTTATCTATATTTAACATGATGCACTAAGAGGTTGAGAATACCAATGATGTAAGTCGAATGTACTACACACGGCTCTATTGTCGCAATTCTGTTGTGGGGCCGTGCTCTGTTTCCTGCTACCATCAACCGACTTGGAGTGCTCTCATGAGACACGAGATAGCGAATCCGGGACAGTATTTTCCTATTCGAGTATTAGATAGAACTGGAACACTCTCTACTAGTCATACAATCAATCTTCTACTTAAAGGCTACGTAGGAAGGACCGCTCGAAGGTAGTACTACTGAATTGTGCACAGGCATGGTCCAGGTCGATGTTAGCTTGGGAAGGCGGCCTAATGATTCAGCGTATTTGGGACCAGTCACATTTCTACTTGTAAAACAGTCAAGATCTCAATTCCTCTATTGAGGATCAGTTATGGGGTGCTTCTGCGACAGCATTTGAACCCTGTCTTTTCTCCCCAGGTGATAAGTTATCAATGGTTAGATTTGTGATCGTACCATCGTTGTACCTATACAATAATATTTGCCCTATAAACACTCCCAGCCGTTATCGACTGCTCCCATGTCCTTTCAGTGTAGTAAAATTCCTCGCTCGCTGAGGGTGGAGGCCGTGGTCGCTGTGGTTAGACGCGGGAAATGCAAAGACCGGCTTTCAACTGCTCAGTTGCGATACCCATATGTTACCAAACTTATTCTGGACTATATGTGGAGATTGGAGAAGCACAATTGGGGAGATATAAAGCTTACAAATATGCACATATGCTGGAAATAGCTGATTGTTCTGTCACTTTTACACATGCAACGGCACGATCGCTCGCCCCTCCTAAGTTAAGCCGAGATGTGTGCCTTCTTTACTTTCTCATCACCTACGCCCGGAACCAAGTTCCACAATGAAGAAGGGGGTTCAGTTTCTTTCTTGAGCTCTTCTGACCGATCATTTCATCTGAAAGCTCGGTAGGACTGTCAAGGCGGTTGTACCCTGTTACGCCAGCGCTACGCTGCTTCTTTCTTGCGCTCCCCGGTCACATTCCGGCCTTTTTCCATCGTCAGGGTTAAAACTCTGCTGTATGATGGTGCTCAAGAGTAGTCCCTTCCATACCTCCTAGATAGTCCTATAAACCTCTCAAATTTTGAATTGTGCTCAAGGTGGGAATCCGGAGCTTTTGCCACGGTGTCTGAAGCCCGCATCGTACACATTCGATCAACTCCCCTGCCCAATACCTGGCTCCGGGGCTGGAAGGGGTTGGCGCATATGAATAATTAGTTTGCATATTAGAAGCGACTCAACAATGGGCGGGTCAATGAATGATCTACAATTGGTCCCAATCGGTTTTCAAATCTTGACATGAACCATGGACAACGGAGTCCGAGTCGGAATATCCGGTGAATACCACGCAGTAGTGTAAATAGCGGCATCTTGTTCGGTGTAATAAGCCCCGAAATTCGGAAGCGCACACTGCTTCAAACCGCCGAAAGCACTGGGAACTAGCAGCTTGCCATGCACAAAGTCGGCTCAAGCCGATCGCTGATCCCCAAGCATATCGCCAGTAAGCAATAGGCTTCGGAGTTAAGTAATGGGTGCTGAGCAAAGTAGCTGACAAACAGAATGTCGAGCTACTAGAACGCCAGCGGGGCTTGCTCCGATCTGCACAGGTTCAGCCGCACGCCGGCCACAGTAGTCGGGCCCTAGCTCGCCAGCACTAGCCACACTATCTATCGCTGGTGTAGCCATTACTTCCGATCCATGACCAGCCTAAAGCTGAGAATGAATCGATGGCGCTTTCGACTCGTGATTGAAGCGAGCCAAACGCACGGATCTGCATGCCATTTCCCGATTTCCCAAGTTTAGTGGTATTTGAGGCTTGGAGATGGGCGCATTGCATCGCAAGTGGCGGTCCCGTTGGAGTCTCAAATTTGCGGTGCTCCCAAATTTGCACGGTATGATGCTGAACATCGAATCAATTGGGTCTTCACGAGGTGCGAGTTTGCATGACCCACCCGAGATTAATTCAGCTGCTCCCAAAATGTACAATGCACACTCGTCCAGAGCTCCTCGATAGTTCAAGACCCTAGTTGGCAGGAGACTGAAGCGTGCGACCGCCCGACTATATATAGTTGGAAAGGTATCCTTGGTGGCATCTTTCCTCTCAACCGTCACATATCTTTCAAATCTCATAACCACAGCACGACTGCAGACCTTCCTCACTCAACAGCTCTTCAATATTACCACCAGTGGCCATCATGCATTTTCTGCTTTTCTTGTTCTTGGGGCTGCTGCAATTAGTCTCTGCAGCCAGATCCGGCACCTATTATGCGGGTTGGCCTGTCGGTGATAGCACATGGAAGACAACCGATTCCGTCTTTCAGCGAGAGACTGGCATCTCCAGGTACCGCCTGTTCCAGGCTGACGGACTGATTTATAAGTATCAGCTCGATTTTGACGTCACCGAAAGACAAGGCGAATATGCAAGTACCTATGTGTTTTTTGACTCAGAAGGCGACGAGTATTACAAGGTGGTCTTTGTCACCGGCACTCATACCCTCAACTTTAATAGTGGGGACCCTTATATTCAGCAGGTCAAGGTTGTCGAGGATTAGTGAGTGCATGCTACAACCTACCCCAATGATACCATGGCTGATATGGATCAGAATGACCTCCCCGTCGTGTTGGACTGAATAAGTTCATTACTTGCTTGATTTGGTAACCCCAATCCTGGCACATATCAGCAGAAGGATGTGCCTTAGTGCTTGGTACTAGTGGAACGAGAAGGAGGTCTTGGGTAGGGATCGGATGCCGGATGGTGGCCACGGCGGAAGATAGGCGAAGGGGGAAGGAGGATCAATTTGTGGGGACCGGTTAGGGGACGGAGTAGTGATTGTGGTTCGAAATATAGCAGAAAGCCATTTGTTCTTAGGATATGGAGGTCGCAAAGACAGTCCTGATTCTGTTGGCATTTTCAGTGACACCACGGACTAGAAAGCTTTTCTCGTACAACCTTGATCTTGCAGAAACATCCTACACCGAAATACTGGAAACAGCATAGGAATATCGCACTAGGAGGCTCTGAATTGCTAGAAATGGCCCTATGGCAGGACAAATGGGGAGCGCCCATAAAGGCTCTGGCCTTAAGGCCACTGAGCGCCAACCCTGCGGCACCTACTTAAGCAACTAGCCTATGAACACTTTAGACTTGGTGCCTAAGCCACAAGACGGGCCGCATTGGCCGTTCAATTCAGTACTCTACTCATCTCGACAACACACTCCCCATTGGGTGGGTACGCCTCAAAGGTTATTTGCAAGCCTGCAAAGGCCGCCAGATCCCTCCACTCGGCGCGGGTCCGTTCGCGGCCAGCATGCATCAAGATCATCGCGGCGTGGGTGGTCGAACTAGCTGCATTCTTCGTAAACTCCTGAATGAGCAGACGTGAAGACGGGGCCATGACCCTGGCGACCTTGGCCAACAGCTTGATGGACTCAATATCCGACAAATTGTGGAGGACGTGAGCCATGGAATACAGCAAAGCTCCCTTGACAGGCTGCTCGCTGCCATCCTCCTTGTAATTCCAGGCCATCTCTGTGACCTCGGGAACCACACCAATGTCTGCATTATATTCCTGCAAAATGAGGTTTTCCTTCTTTAGTAGTTGCGGGTATGCCGCTTGCATCTCCAAGAGCAGCTCGCCCCGGCCACCACCGATGTCAACTACCTGGAGTTTCTCGGGAGCCGTGGATTGAAGCAAGCCATCCAAATTATACCCAAGCTTGCGGACGCGATCAGGCATTGTGCCCCAGCGGCCAAATTTGCCCGTCATGAAAGTGTTAAAGCTATCAAGACGGCCCGTGTGATGCATCACGGAATACACATGTTCCCGAGCAAGGAAGTCATTGCCCATGAGTTTGTGTGCATATTGGAACGGGGTGTCGCACTCCTGGAACGGATACTCGAACTTGGTATCCATCAGGCGCCGCATGAGAAATGCCGATGCCAAAAGTCCCTCAGATGTGCTGGATAGTGAGAGAACCTTGCTGTCAGCTACCGACATCACAGCTTAAGGTGTGTCGCAAGGGATTCCTACAAATGCATGGCTCCATGCTGGGCAGAGGGCGTTTCCACCAAGAATCGGGTGACGTCGTTGGCCCGGTACACATCGTCTGGAAGAAGGTCCAAGAACCCCAGACCTCCCATAAGGAAAAGGGTATCATCTGCGGCATAGTCAAAATTTGTGAATATAGTTTGGTCATGAGGAGGTATGCAAGAGACAACATACTGGCCAAAGGCACCGCTGCATTAAGATTGGATCAGAAGGTTAGCTGCACAAACGTTCCACAAAAGAAGCCATTCGATGACATACACAGGTCGGTATCACCGTATTTAGTGAAATGAAAACTGCAGACATCCTGCGCGGTGGCTGGTTTACCGATGGCTTGCAGGCAGCCAAAGAGGTCAAAATGGACAGCGATGGGTACGAACCCCAGAGAGGGGGCCTAGCAGAGGGAGAACGTGAGCATGACCATGGAATAAAACCACCAAGGATATCATAGCCCTGAGTAAGAGGCAGGGAACCGACACACCATAGTGACAGTGCTCATGACCTTCTTCCCAGCTTCGGGGATGGGGGCGTTCTGCGGAGCGGCCATGCCTGTGAAGACCTTGGATTCCGATGTTTTGCTCAAAGTAGAGAATTTTGGAAGAACAACGTCCTAGGATATACCCTCTAGATATAGGGAAGTCCAGCTCATCTGCTTATTAGTCGTGGTTCCACGGCTAGCCATCGTTCTTCCTCCAGAATTCATTTTTTTCACGCCATTGACGATCGTCTTCCAGTGGTACCCAGAGCGGTGCATGGGGGCATGCAAATCTAGCGCGAGGCTTATCGGACCCTGGCCGCCACCAATCAATATAGGCAGAATACCTGGCGCATGCACAGCACAATCAAACTGCCCATACCAAGCCACGAAGATGTCCTGAGCCCCTGACAGGGGCTGTTGATAGTGTTTACCTAGGCCCAGAACCGGTGTGCGTGAATATTGATGGCGGTCTACTGCTTACGCTGGCGATAAGAAACTCTGAATCTCCATTCCACATCACATGGGAAATTGCAAGCCACCATCATTGGCGGCACATTCGGTGACACCCGGCCATACTACGGTCTATGTCGCGCAGTCAGTAGTCAGCTTACACCTAATACAGAAAAGTCTCCATCGTGCAAACACTGGGTAGATACACGATGCTGACGACAGCGATGATAGGTTCTATGGAACTAGAATGTGGTGACAGACACACCACGTTATGCGCAATCCGTAGATTGCCCCACTGGGCTATGCGACGCAAGGGGCAATGACCGTCCGGTACACTTATCAGTCCAGAACGAATGTACTTTCTCCCCTTGGGACGCCGCTTTCTGAGGAGAATAGCATGCCCTGTGACCACCCCTTCCGCGTTATCAAATGTTCGACCAATATTCTATTCTCTATTGCCCAATTTTCAAACGGTTTTTAACACTATAAGGGACAGGATACTACCGGGATCTCTATACACGTGTTGAATTCGTAGCCTGTCACTCACTTGACGGACGATGGCCAGCCAATCCTTCAGCGTTCTCTCCAGCGTGTTGGTAAACTGGTGAAGGAGTAGATCATTGCAGCGCATCACCCGTTCCTGAGTGGCGGGAATAGAGCCTGTTTCTGGTAGAACTATGTCAGCGATGAAGATCCTGCTCTTTGGTTCCAGAGCAGGCAAAATGTTGCGAAGAATCTGAACCGCTTCCTGATCCGGCCAGTCATGGAGAATTTGGCGCAGCAAATATACGGCAGCACCCTTAACTGGCTGCAAGTGGAAGAGGGAATGGCCCTGAAACCGGATGCGGGTAGTCACTGAGAGGGGCAGCTCGCGCTCTTCCAGTCGCTGAATGCTGTTAAGAACTACCTCTGGGCGGTCTTGCACCACAAAGCGTAGGCTCGGAAAGCTCTCTGCTAGGCTTACACTGACATGACCAGTAGAGCCGCCCATCTAGAGGTATTTGTTAAGTAGTGCATGGAAGGGAATCTGAGATATAGAGGCTCACATCGACTACGACCCCGTCACCGAGCGATGACCAGTCGAAACTTTTGCATAAATGCGAAGTGTCAAACAGATTGGTAGTGGACACCGCTCTCATGGAATTGGCGAATTCAACCGTGCGGGCAGGATCCTGCGATATGTAGTCGAAAAAGGAGCCATGGTGATCGAAAGCAAGATTATGCGCCGTTTCATTCAATTTATTGCTATCCGGCCAAGTAGCAGTCGCATCCACATTTTTGGCCGCAGTTGGGAAAACGGTCTCAGAAAAGTACTGGCCCCAATAGTCCAAGGTCGGGTCACCGGCTAGCTTGCGCGATACAGGGCTGTGGCCAACCATTCCCATTGTTCCGTACTCTTGGAACAAGTGACCGGTCATGACGAGGCGTAGGTAGCTGCGCAAGAGTTTCTCTGGCACTTTTGCCATGTGAGACAGCTCTTGGTATGAGATTGTGCCATCCTGTGGCACAAAAGTGTGAATCTTGAAGTGGAGTAACCATCGCACGGCACAGATAAATTGGAGCTGGAAAACGAAACCACACATTTACTGTATCATCAGCTAGCCGTCCATATGCATTTGCACAATTTCAGAGAAGGGATGCCAAAGTAGGAAAGGATATGCGAACATCAACCGTTAGATTTGTCAGCACATCACCTGGGTCCCGGGTTAGATGGAGCAGCTGAATTGCGGCTTCCTCCAACTCAAGTTTGGCTGCGCCAATTGTTGTTGGTAGTGTGGTCTGGTTAGGTAGCATCGACGGGTCGTCTTTGAGTGACTTAAGGTGTTCGGCGATGAGGCCGGCACTAGAAGCTACCTGGCTGGCATAGCGTTCCAGTTGGGAAGAGAGACGTTCATCCATCACCGAGTGTAATCCAGTTGTTATGTCTTGCTTGTTCGAGGGCAATGAACGGTAACCATACAAGTCTGTATCAAGAAGGAGCGAGGGGGACACATACAAGCCCTTCCAAACGCTCTGAAAGTGACGGACAGAGTAACCGAAAGAAGAGGGCATTGGTGAGCCATAGCTAGATTTAAAGGGTAGGCAAGGGACGAGTAAAGGCGGAGGGCCTAGACGTTGACATGAAGCATCAACGCCTCGAATCTCTGAATCAACGACACCCGGCTTGCGATCGTTTGCGTACAGCCTAGAACTGGCCGAGCCGTGTCTGGCCGCAGATAGAGTCAGCTGCAAACATTCTCGGCCCTGGAGTGACACCATCAGGACAACATTCTACATTTGCAATCCCACGAAGTAGTCCCGTGGAACATGCACAACCGATCATATTTGCGCTCTCATAGGATGGTCTTACTTTTGGCTTGCATTGCAGGCATGTCAGTCACCCCTGCTGATTCAGTTGGTTGTGACAGCTGACTGCTTTTCTCAAACACTAGTACCCCCGTTCTGGCTACCCAGCCGCCGGCTATGCTTGCAGATATTCTGTCCCGGTGTCAGACACAACACACAGTTTAAGCGGAGTCTCCGCTTCTCTGCCCCTGGGCAGAGGTGTGGAGTTTGTTTTTGATCATATCGGCCTCTTCTTCTGCTTCTCTTTTACACCACTCGATAAAACCATTATAGCCACCGCGGTGTCAAATATTACCCAGCAGTTCCACAATGATGCGGGTGGTATGCAAGTACCTACGTGCTCACTACCTTCGCCGTGACACTCCCTTTCAGCCGTCTGAAAACCTTCTTCCCCATTAAATGTGCCAATGTGAGTGGCCTCTTGGTGTTTAAACTTCGCTTTTCCCTCTGCAGCATCACCCCGTCTTTGTCGGGCCTCTCGTCTCATCCCACATTGGCCGGCCTGCGGGGAGGGGGGCCATTCTTCGGTTTCCTTATCATCATTACTCACAGTGGGCCATTTCTCCAACGGACAACCTTCTCGGGGTACCTAGTGAGCGTACTTTCAGTGGCGAACGTAATTGTACCTCTGCAACCTTATAGGCTAGTAGGTCCTCCCGTCGCAAGATCAAATGATAGAGAGTGCGAGGTCACCTCATGATGCCGGTTCTTAGGATGGGCCGGGCCCTCAAAAACCACATCTCGTGCCGCTGGTGTTTCGATATCTATCTCCCATTTGGGCTATTGAGTCCAGTCGTTATCTTCGTTACCTTCCAAATCAGCAAACCTGTAGCACCGATGAGCCTAAGGGAAAACGTGGTTTGTCTTGATCCTTTGGGGACGGCCATGCCTAGTATCGGCGCTGGTCTGCTCTCGACACTGCAGTCAGATTTCGGGACAGGTCAATGGATGGTATACCAGGTTATTCTGGGAGAGGGCATCGGCATGGGATTCCAGTTGCCTGTTTTCCTCGTGCAGACCACCCTATTATCTACTTACTGGTATCTCCCACCCCACGGCCTTGATGCCTTGTCTTTCATTCAGCTCCTTGGCGATTGCATCTTCGTCTCCATTGCGCGAGATATCTTTCGCAATAGGTTACTGGCAGGCAACCACACAACTTTGCCGATGGTGGACCCTCGCGCGGTGAATAATGTCGGTCCTACCAATTTTCAGAGAGTGTATTCGAGCTAATATGCCCTCGAGTCTAGTTAATATGAATAGTTATGTCGTAGTGCACACTTTTAATCCAGCCATTGGCTTATCTGCTTCTTCATTCTTCGCTGCAACTGTCATTTAGTGGCTGTCATCGAGCAAATCAATCAGCCAGTCCGGGTCCTCTTGAGCCGAATGGTCGTATTGAGTCCACCCCATCAGGCGGGAGCCCCTGGATCCTTACGTGACCAAGGAGTTAACATTCATCCCTTGCTGCATGACGTTCTCGGATCGACCATGTCCCTACGGTCCCCGTGGTTTTCTATGTATCTGCCATCGTATGCTAGCCGTGCTCTTTGACCGATTTAGTAGGTCTCCATTGACTTCCCCGAGCAATATTGCGTTGCGTATTTGTTTCTCAATACTTGCCAGTCGGAAAAGAAGTTGCAGCGTGTCCATACCAGGACAGCAACCATCTATAACTCCACTGAAACCATCGTCAATTGTGGTCACCAGATATCGAGTATGATACAATATCAACACTAGGAACTAGTAATCATCTGACATTGTTCTAAGGTGACATTTGGTCATTTGGTGAGGTCGGATGAGAAGGGTGTGTGTGTGACAACAATGGCGCCATGATGCGCCCGCAGTCAGCATTCCGTCAGTAGTGAGGATAGACAGTCAGAAATTACACCACCTTCTTATCGAGCTAAATGGTCGCTCGGCCTTGCTGTGGGCTTGGACAACATCCTGGGTTGCCGTCTTTGTAAGGACTTTCTGGACCTTGAAAGTAAATGATGACTCGGCGCATACGCCCACGACTTTATTTCTGTCATGATTACGCACTAGTTAGTGTTAGATGTAATCTACGAATTCAGGTTCTTATTGTCTTCGTTTCATTTTCAAATTCCGATCTTGCCTGCTACTTAATCGGGGCACATGGAGAATGTTGGTAACATTTACGTGACACCTTGTGGCAAAATACGACATGGGCATAACCGCCTCATTGTGAAGTAATTATATGAGTTCTTCAGGGACTGAAAGCTAATGGATATTTCTTGCGATATCGGTGGTCTGGTGCTCACAGGTCCAGTGGTAATGATTAAGATCTTTCGCAGTCTGGCAAAGTAGATAATACCCGCGCTTCGTGATCTGTCCACGGCTGCCTCAACAAAGCAAGGGGCAACCCCCCCTTTCATGTCACCCAGCGAAGGAGGCTTACTGTTTCGACTATGGATGGTCTAGACCAACCCTTACTACAGCCGATAGTACTACGTAGTAATGGAAAGACACTACCACATGGATGAACAGAGAGCTGGGACCAGAACTGGTGTCACCACACCCGTCTCCTCCTTACATCGAGGTCGTGCCCACAAAAGATTGATTTAAAATGGAAATGCTGGTGCCTGAGGACCGATATCAGAAGAGGTACCATTGGAAAAAGGGTGGACCGACGAGCACCGTATTTGAACAACTCCTAGGCCTAAGGCTATGATCTTACAACCCTAGGGTGCATTGACTTCCCCTCACCCACCATTTCCGCCGATAAGCCTAGGAGTACACAATGCTGATCCTCTATCTAGTACGTGCCATGCAGCACATAGTTCCCCGATCTTCATGTAGCTTGCACCCATAACTAACCGACAGTATTCGACATACAGCTAGCAGCGGTCATTGTGGGTTGGCTGATATACCGCCTCCATCTAGACCCTCTGTCGCGTATTCCAGGTCCCCTGTTGGCCAGATTTGTTCCGGTCGGGCAATCATTCTCGCCGCCACTCCGTACTCTTGCTCATCTAGCTAATTGATTGTACCAGATCTGTAACATTCAAATGGTCCTCACCGGCCGACTGATGTTCACCTTCAAGAAGCTGCATGACACTTACGGTGAGCTTTAATCTGTTTCCGTAACCCTCGCCTCTCCCCAACCTCCAGAAAGCTCACCCGATTTTCCTTCAGGCCCAGTAGTCCGCATCGGACCAAGTGAGCTATCATTCGCAACCAACAGCGCATTCGATACCATCTATGGACCCTATGGTGACAATAACTTCTCGCTCTACGGCAGCCGGAAAGGCTTATTGGGAAGCCTGCATGGCATGGCAGATTCGTTAGGCAACTCAACAGAGAAAGATAATCGCCGAATGCTACGTCCACTGGTTGCTACCTCCTTGAATGAGCTGCTGGGCGCCAAAGGCGAGCAGTATTGTCACCTGGCAATGGCTGAGCAATTGGCATTCCATAATGTAGGCCAGACGGAAGCCGCACCCGTCCCCTTGTCCACATTGAACAATCGGTACCTGTGGCAGTTCGCGAACATGGCGGCCTTTGGAAACCGCGGCGACGAAGCGGGGCGAGGTAGGTTTCACAATCTACTAATGGGGTCGAGCGTCTCGGCACTAATCGAAGTAATAGTAAGCTTTAATCCTCATGTGGACTGGCTGGACCCCTTCATGTGCTTCCTTGAGACACTCTTGGTATTTTTCTCACGAGCTACCATTCACCGCCACATAGCAATTGCTTTAAGAGTATGGCAGGCCATCTGCTTCATCTTCCGACGGCCTGTTCATCCAGTCGAAGTCAACTACGACAAGGATCAATCTGCATTCCCGGATAACCTACACAGTCGGCTCCGGCAAGCAGCTTCAAGGTCCATGCTCCAAGTCCCTGATTCCTTATTGCAGGTCAATTGTTTTGTTCTCCGGTGAGCATCGCTCCCAAGCCGGTAGGGAATATTAGCGCCCCTAGACTAAGCCATCAGGGTAGATTCAGCATATACGGAACAGCGGACAACATGCTAAACGCGTTATTTTATTTTCTGCTCAAGAACCCACAATGCTTAAGGAGACTAGAAGCGGAGGTCTTGTCTGTGGGGGCCGCCGTGGATGAGCTATCGGACGACTGTCTAGCCAGGTTGCCCTATCTCAACGCCTGCATCAACGAAACTTTCCGTATCACCCCTGCCTTCAACGGGGGCATACTACAGAGAGTGTCTTGGGGTGCCACAGTTGATGGGATCTACGTCCCACCGGGGGTAAGGTCTAAGTTCTCTCTTCCTTTAGACTGGGTTGATGGAGACACTTCACTGACATCAAGCACCTGGCCAGGTTGCGGTTTCGGTAGACCATTATACGCTGGGCCATGCCCCTCAATATTGGGAGAAGCCTGATATTTTCAACCCGGACCGGTGGATCGATCAAAATTGCAAGGATAATTTCAAAGCCTCGCGGCCGTTTCTTATCGGCGCACGCCAGTGTCCAGGGCGACAGATGGCGTACCAGATGTTCCGGGTGTGTGTCGCCAAACTCGTATATCTCTACTCTTTGGAGTTGGTGAACAATGACTTTGATATTGAGCGGGACACCTTCTCATCATATCACTGGACCGGTGTCAAGCTTGATGTGACCATGAAGCCACGCACCCCGGGTGTTTTCGGCTACTGATTCGCATGGTCTTCTTCTTTGGCTGTGAAACTTTATGGTCAACCTTCCCCCCGTCAGACTGATTATCGTTAATCATGTTAATTACTATTGCCTGTTCAGACCTTCGCAAACTCTATGCTCAATGTATTGTGATGTGGTCCCATGTTGGTGAGACATCAAGTGACCCTAGATACGGTACATATCGCAATAAAATCAAATTTATTATATTCTGGATCCCCATCCCAAACCAAAATTGTTACCTCAGCTTTTCTCTAGGCAACATCAGTGAAGCGTCGAGGCTCTCATTGAACCATGTCAGATAGCAACTTAGTACAATACTATAATCTTTCTCCGGCTATCTTCAAGTAAATCCACGCTTATAATCCGCGCGGGAGAGTATGAGGATGTCATTAATAAAATTGGAACGAGTAGGAGAGGTTGAACTGTAGCACGAGATTTCACATCTCACCTCAGCCTATTCCACACGTAAGCCGCAAGGCCGGTTCAGGTGATGTTCTTGACAGGCCAGAATAATAGTAATGACCCTCGTGGCAAGCTGAGGATTTTGCAAACCGACACCTCCAATGAGATCTCCAGATTGGCATGCCACGGCTGTTGTGGGTGCAATCGACGATTCCTCATGATTGTTCAATCCGTTCTCATGATTGGCCTCTCTGCATACCAACCGACATTCTTCAGGTGTATGCCTGGTCTTGGCCCCACCTGACATTTTTACCAGTCAATGTTTAAATGTTCTTTAAGTGCAGAGGTTCAGGCTGGCTATTCATGACTACTCAAAAATTCAGCAAAGTCTGTACTCTACTCAGCATGCGTGTCTTGCTGGCTACTATTTCAGCTGGGGTGTTATGGCTTCCCCAGGTGTTGGGGAGGGCCGACGCGAATGCGCCGAATTATACGGTCGATGAGCTGTGGAAGTTGGAAACTACCTTCTGGGACAACTTCTTATATCCTGCAAATGTTGAGCAGATGGAGGCCATTAATTCCACCTTGTTTACTCCGAATGTATGTTGAGGGGGGTATTTGTCCTTCCACTACGTCGCTGACATCTCCCTGCAGGTACAAGGTCGAGTAGACATCACCCGCGTGTTCAACGGCAGCGAATTGAACACGGAGTATATTTTCGGACTGTTTTCGGACCCTGATCATGTTAGTCTAGTTGGGGTTCCCGTTGACTATAGCATCACGCAGTTCATCGCTCAGGGGAATATCGCATCCGCGACCACTGTTGTCACCTTTAATGCCACCTCGTTCGGCAATCTGCTGGTACCGGTCACCATTGACACGTGGATCATGTGGGATTCCGACAGACGCATTATGCAATATGATGCCACCTTTCGCTGGTTCGGATTTCTGCTAGATACCCTGGTGGAGGCGTTGGCCGAGTCCATCAACGGCACGACCAGCCAGGCTACGGCATCACTGACCCAGATCCTCGCCACGACCATCTGCGCAACGCATGACCAGTACTGCACCGGGGCAAACCAACAATACGATAACAATACGGCTTGTCTTGACTTCCTGACTACGGCGATCCCGCTCGGGAAGGACTACGAGCTAGGCCGAAATACCCTGTTATGTCGGGAGGTTCATGAGCAC